ATACGCCCCCGATCTGGGGGCCTGAATATCGACCGTATTTTTCTCGGTCGGTGGGGTGACGGGAGCTTGCTCCGATCCTACCACGGGTCTGCCATGTATTGCAGTACAACATGGTTGGGCCCATATTATTTAATCCAAAAATAAAAAACTTTTCCAATCGTGTATATCATCATCTCTGTGTCTGATCTTCTTTCTTTCTTGTCTTTGGTTCTTTATTTCTTCTTGGAGAGGGGGGGACTACATTTACCTCCTCTAACTAGTGTTTTTCTCTCGTGCGTCGCCCGACGCCTTAGTGTAGGTATAGTAGTAGTAGTAACTAACGATACGTTGAGAGAACAACAAAAAGGGAATTTGGGAGAGACTTAGTAGTTATATTTTTATGTACGTGTATATAATAATAATTAGTGTCGGTCACAAAGAAAGGGGAGTGGGCAGTCGAATATTTATGCTGAGTGTGTTGGTAGCAACACCATTTTCAACATAACAGTTGCGCTAAGCAGGGTGTAAGTACTTCGTGGATATCGTTATGGGACCGAAAGAATGGGGGAGGGAGGGAGGGGGGAGCATCTTACAAAATGAAAATTTTTCATTGATTTATATTTTATGTAAGAGGAGCGGCGCGATGGGGTGGGATAGGGAAGGAAGGAAGGAAGGGGGATACGAATGCACACACATGATGATGCTTATATCATAAATTAATTAAGCCATATCATCGATTTTATATAGTGTTCAGCATACAATTTTCTATTTTTTAGAAATCGTAAAAGACGCAAATGGCAAAATAATCAGGCAAGCCTGTCAACTTTTATCTTTACGAAGCTTGAGTGTATTGTCGTAGTAATGTATCTTATGTATTTATTAATCCAAACATATACAAGTATTAATTAGGTTTTATTTTTTTATTTTATTTTTTTTTTTTTTTTTTTTTTTTTTTTTTTTTTTTTTTTTTTAATATTTTTTACTATTTTTTTTAATAAACAATTTTCATGAAATTTCATATTTTAATTTTTAGTGTGAAAATGCAATAACAAAGGTTTATGTCCATTTATAATTGAATTGAATATATAAAGATACGATTGACTATATATTGTATATAAATTTTTTTCATAATCAATGATAAATAATGAATGTCAATGGATGAATCTCGAATTTGATTACACGATTGTTGCGATTATGTCTACTTGGATCAATATTGCCATTTGTTATGCAAATCTTGTTCTACCAGTATGACATTATAAATCTTTGATTCTTGCAAGTCTGTATAAAGACGTTATCATAAGCTTCTCGGATCATTAATTTGGCCAGAAAATTGATTTCTAATGCAATAGCCGAGTGACTCTTTATCTCAATAATATTAGCACATGTGAATCGGTTTTTTTACTTTCGCAATTTCAATATCTGAGAATAAATTTAAGTATAAGGGCCACTTTTAAATCAATGATTAAATTTTATTGTGACATTTATATTATTTATACAATGCGTGGATTTTAATTGAAAAAAGCTTCGGCTTTAACGTAATTATTTAATGAAAAGTCAAGTTAGCCTCGGCTTCGTTTATCGACGAAATTAATCGACGGTTGGCTTTCATTATTACGCGACTCGATTAGAGAATAAATATACTTATCAGGCATTAGATAATAATGGGAGCAGGTAATTGAAAAATCAATAATGCATGGGCCACAATCACCCCATCAGACTGATCAAATTCGTATTTGTGCTAATAGTTTTATAAAACAAAATTATCATACCATTTTAATGTTTTAATGTTTTTAAATAGTTTTTCGATCATTCTCTTATAATTGCTTTAATTATGAAAAGTTGTAATGTAAATGAATTCTTATGATTTGTATCTCCCACCACGATGGATTTATATTGAGATATTCAAAAAAATACGAAATTGAGAATTTAATTAGAAAAAAGCTAATAAAAAGCTAATTAAGCGATTGATAAATTATTTTATTTTATACATTTTTCACACCACAAACGGGATAACGTTATGGCTTAAGTATATTAAGCTTTAGACGATATGTTGGTGTAAAAGGGAAATAATAACTTATTAAACCCCATCTATTATTTTGGTTAATTGTTGCAAACTATACTCTATATTTTGTATATATATATATATATATATATATATATATGCTGAGGAACAATATTTTTAACAATAAGAAAATATCGGTCAAAAATTAGGAATGTAGCTTAGTAATTTTACGCACTGATTTAATCATTAATTAGTTAAACGAAATTCTTTATTAATAATATTAATAAATAACTTTTTTCTTTCTCAAGAATATTTTTGTTTCTTTTTTTCACAATATTGTCTGGCAATTAATTTAGTAATAATGTGGATAAATTCATGGATAAAATTATTAAACTAATAATATTTTAAGTGCTTTTCGAGATTGATATATAATCCACTATGAGAACAATCGCAATGATTTATTTCTGTTGTTACGATTTATTGCAACGATTTGTTACATCGAATTGATATTCAATGATATTCCACACTAAACGTTATTAAATATCATTATTGAATTATTTTATGGATAATTAAGATCCGAATAAAAGAGAACGTATTTATTTCCTATTTTTTTTTACATTGGAGTATGAAATTCAGCTTAATGCAAGCATCAATTTTTTTCTTATCAAATTTCTTAATCAGTAAACACGAGATTAGAATGCAATTGAAAGAAGCACAGCATTGCTATTTCTAAATCTTAAAAGCAGCAGTAGGTTACTAGAAAAAAAAAAAAAAAAAGCCTTGTTCTGAAAATTATTGCGTAAGAATGTGCTGAGAACCCTACGTATTATTTTCTATTGTTCACTGATTTAAAAGCCTCGATAGCTGTTTTCTCTTTTCTCTTGGTGAATTTACTATTATTTATGAAAATAGATTGTGAAATAAAATAATTAAAAAACGATCGAAGTCGAGCAATATTAGTAGCAGTGTATTGAAAAATCACAGAAAAAAGGATAATTTTGCATAAGCGAGGAAAAAGAAACGAACTTTTATGAAAAAAAGATATTTACTTGACAATAAGAAGTAACACTTATAAAAGAAACAAAATTAATATGATCCAATATACTTGAGAGAAAAAAACAATTTATCAGATGAATATATATATATATATATATATTTATTCACGTAAGCCTTGAACGACTCTCGCACACAGTCTTCTACTTATTAATTTAAAACAAAGAATATATATATTTATAATTACATGTAGTTTTTTCTTACTTTAAGTCTGACTCTCTTTTATTACCTTATAAGGAGACGTCATAAACAATTTTAACTATAATTTAATGTTCGTTATTGTTGTTAGAAATTTCCGTGTCAGAAATATTGAAAAAAGATTGACACCGGACATGGATTTATACAAGAGGTCGGTATTACCTGTCTTTCAATGTAGAAACGGGCGTGATGTATCTGTATTGGAGGAGCATAATAATAAAAGATAGAGAAAGATAGGGAGTCGCGAACTAGAAATGGCAAGTCGGAATAGGGTTTTAATAAAGAATTTACCAAGAGGGAGAGAGAGAGAGGGGGGGGGGTTCAAGGAGAGAGGGTTACAACACAAATAAATTGTAACGGACTCCGGGACAAAGTGCGCCATTGCAGTTCTTAAAAAGATTTTTAATCATAGACATTCGTATCGGTTATTAATCTCCAACTGATCAAATATTAATTTGTTTCAATCCCCATTGCCATTTTTCGTCACAAATTGCTTTATGGACGAATATATCGGATTATGGATGATGGACGCGATGACATTTTACATAACTGAAGATATCTGTAACGGCAGCAGCAGCTGCAAAAATCGTTGTCAAGTATATTGTACATTTTGTTTTAACGGGAGGCATGAGAAATTTCTCACAAAAGAGAAAAATTAATAATATTACCTACGCATACATTATTTATTATTCTGTATATACTTCTTTCTTAATACTCAGTATTATTATTATTATTGGATTAAATATAAGTATTTTATAATACTTTTGTATTAATAATAGTGTCAAATACTCAAGTAACATATGAAGTAAAATAATATCTACAAATGTGTAAAAAAAAAAAAAAAAAAAAAAAAAAAAAAAAAAAATTTAATATCAGTGTTGTTAGCGAACTTGTATAACTAATGATGTTGTAATTATATGTACTATAATTATAGTAAAGATTGGTAAAATATGAATAATAAAATTCGTAAGAAAATGTATAGTAACCTGCTGCTAAGCTCGTCAATCCCCGTAATTGAGGTATGGAAGCGTAGGTGAATAGGTCGCAACAAGGAAAATTATCTTAGCTCAGATTTACCTAACATTTGCGTAAATTAACATTAATCCGGCTCAGGTTGTTAACGCGGAAGCAACGTAGCCTCGCTGCCTTTTATCATCATTTATAAATTTAAAAACATGCTGCTTGTATTATTAAGTTAATTGCTAATCCTTCTCTGACCATGATTCACTAAAGTGACGGGCGACGTAGGATTAACAATTGTGCCGGTGAATGAAAATCGTGACCATGCGAACAACGGCTGGGTAAGGCTGTGCTCTATGATGTAGAGGAGCTTCCTCCCCACCACCGGACGACGACAAGACCCTTGATCGGAGGGTATCATTGGCATGGATGAAGGAATCATGTCGGATATTAAAAGCACCGTTACACACAAAAGGGTTTAAGCCCTAACCGAACTTTGGACGACGAATAGAAGTAGTGGGGATAGTGAGCGATCCACCCTCATAAGAGAGGTAGACGGTGTAACGAGGCATCCATTTCGTTAAGAGCATTTGTAGTATTATTCAGGTATTCGTTGCATTAGCGACGTGCAATCACTCGTCGTGTGTCAGTTTTCCACGGCGCGCGGATCTTTTTCAGCCCATCCTCCCTACGATAGCATAAAAAAGAGCCGAGCAGCAATCCCTTCGTTCTTGCTGTTATCGTATCCAATGAAAATGGACGAATGATCGACATCGTCGACGTGCCCGTGGCATTGAGAAACTATCACCTCTTTGGCTAAAAGAGCCTCGAGGACAGGACACGAGATTGTGGTGGCGGTGGTGGTGGCGATGGTGATGGAAACGTCATTTGGTGAGGGCGTTAGGGGTGAGTTGTATGTGAAACACTTGTTACAACCTGCGTAACTTGAGTTGGCACTAGGAGAGTTCAATGACCGCCTGTGTAGCTCGAATATTTCCATCATCGCTTCGATGCGAGCGAGCGATAATCTGCACTCTTATTTATTTAATGCTTATATAATACTTATTATTCGTCAGTTATTTTGATTTAATCACTCTGAGCATCGAGGTGATAATGTCTCGATAATTTTCTCTTCGCTTGTCTCTTTCTGTCTTTCAAATCAATTATCAATCTATCAAAAATTTAATCTTCTTACTATTCGTTATGCAATTCCTTCATTATCCCCGTTTCAGTTATATCAGAAACAATGAGCGCGCGAATTTCAAATATTTCAAATCCAATCCTAACGCAATATAATCAATAAAATAAGCCCGTATAAATGAATGTGTATATAATTTACCTCGGTACGGGTTGTTTATAGTTAAATTTTTTTATTTTTATAATTTCCACGTTTCATTTTTTTGTTTATTGAATAACGTATTTTGAGTTAAAAAAAAAAAAAATTATAAATCATACCGTGAAAATTAAACGCTGGGTTAAGAAAATAATATTATATAAATATAATAGTTTAATAGGACAGTTGAATTTTAAGACTAAATAATTCATTTTTATTTACAAGTGTAGCGATTATTTTTCTGATAATACATCGAACCAATAAGTAATTAACAATTAATTTGCTTCTTAAAATTTTAATTCAAATTCATCTATATGTTACTTTACAATAGATGTATTAAAAAAATAATAAAATATTACAATTATAAGCTGCATTGTGCAAATGCATATTAAATAGAAATATACTTAATAACATCGTTAACAATGATCCCATTTATTTATTAATTATACCGAAAGATTAATCAATGGAAGACATGTAAAATACACATTTGAAATTATGCTCAATTTATTTTAAATTCATACAAAAATATTTGTTTTTGCATTCATACGTCTTTATGTATTCGTTCCAATATTATCTTCTTTACTACTTTTAAATATTTTTAACAAACGGTTTTTTTTTATTTTCTATGATATATATATATATATATATATATAAAGACGGCATTGTTATTCTTTTGTTTATTTTAGATATAATTTTAAATAAATAAGATGTAGAATAAAATTTTAAGCATCGAAACGTAAAGGATTTATATTTTTCTATGGAATATATTTCGTAAATTATTTATTTCTAAACAATGAACGAAAACCCTAAATAATGCATTGAAGAAAAATTGCTTTAAATAAACGTACATTTTTTTAATTCCTTAAATCTAGTGTGTAAATGCACAATACTTTGCACATTGTACACACTTCCGAATGTCAAATGCGGCAAAAGGAAAAGAATTTCAATTCAATTCTTTTATCATTATTAAGGCAAAATAGACTGTAAATACTTTGTTTTGTAATGCCCATATTTACACTCCATAATAAAAAAAAAATAATACTATAATTTTAATTGTTAAAATAACCTGTATTGACTTATTGATTTGTATTCATTGGCCTAGTATGTAATTATATGCCGAAAGTAGTGAAAATCTCCTAATTATGTAAATTCCTTATGAATAGGCTCTTGGTTAAGGCTGTAGAGTATGTGTGTGCGTATCACATATCGGTACCGCAAATAAATGTAAACGCATGTACGCAAAATAGTTTTAAGAGAGATTTTAATTAGCTGGAAATGGAAGGAAACGACAGTAAAAAAGAAAACGGGGGTCCTGAAGATAAGAAATCTTATGCTGGAATTCCCGAGGCTGACTTTGTGGTAAATACATATTTGTTCATCTTGAACTTTCAAACCTTCGAGGCTACATAACCTATCGAACAATTTCAATTTATGTTTAGAATTGCAGAGATCAAATTACATTTTTACAATAGTTCTATTTACGAAAATATTGAATAATAAATTGCTTTCCATAAATCGTCCGATCACGCGAATGATTGTTAAAATATATAAAGATTCTGCCATTATTAAACTTTCAATTTTACAAATATCTTAATTCATATTCATATAATCCTTATTTGGCTGCAGAGACCTGCACTCTCAAATTTCACGCATTACTTTCTTCTATTGGTACTTGATTTTGTTTTACTTTCTTAAAAATTTGAATAAAATTCTAGGATGATGTTGATGCTTTTATGGCAAAGCCCGAAAATAATGGATCTGTTGATAAAGTACTTAAGAAATTAGACGAGAGTCATAGTAAATATAAATTTATGGAATTGAATTTAGTTAATAAGCGTAAAAAATTAAAGGAAAAAATACCGGATTTGGAACAGACATTATTAATGATTGAGAAACTTCAGACGGAGAAAAATAATAATCAAGATATGGAAACTCAATTTGTACTTTCCGATCAAGTTTACGCTAAAGCCCTTGTTTCACCAACTGATAAAGTATGTTTATGGTTAGGAGCTAATGTAATGCTTGAATACACATTAAAAGATGCTAGAGAATTGTTGACTAAAAATATCGAAGCAGCAAAGCAAAACTTAAACTTTATCGAGCACGATTTAGACTTCTTACGAGATCAGTTTACGACCACAGAAGTTAATATGGCAAGAGTATATAACTGGGATGTTAAAAGAAGAAAAACTGAATAATCAATGCAAAAGTTGTGCTGTAGTATTCGACTATCGCCAATGAATGCTACTAAAAGTTAAATTAATCAATTTGTAATTGACTAAATACTAAATAATAAAATGTTGTAGAAAAAAATTGATGAACAGATCAATTAGCATTGTGACAATTTTTCATGAGGTTGAAATTTTCAGATAATTAACATTATTGCTGTTTTAAATTTTCACAGTTTAAACAATCAAATTTTACATTCTAGTTTGCAATTTATTTAAATAATTATTATTGAAAACTACTTCTATGTAATATTTTTAAAATTGTATACTTAAAAAAAAAAAAAAAAAAAACAAGTCATAATTATCGATTAACATCAATTATTTATAAAAATTAGATACGTTTTAAGTTAAAAAGCAAATTACACACAAAATTTGAAAGAAATTAAATAGTTTTATATTGATAGAATTAAATTAAAGGAATAAGAGGAAATAATAGATTGGCTATTATTTTTTTTTGTTAGGGATTCTTAAAAAATTTATTTTAAATTAGTTTATAATTTATTAATATATTATGAGATATAGAAATTGTGTTTACAAAAATATATTTCATATAACATTTGTAATTTGTATCTGATATTTTAATGTTTATCTTTAGAAATAAAAAATTATACAACTCATTTCTTTATAAAGTATTCGAAATATGTACAAACGTATGCCTTTCCTTAATTATATTAACATAATTATACCAAAACATGTATTAAATTATTTATAAAAAAAAAAACATTGAGATTTGTTTTGCAAATCATAAAAGATATATCAAAACAATAAAAAAATATAATAAAAAAGAAATATAGAATTATTATTGTTGAGTACAAAAAACATTTGTATTTACTTTTTTTATTTAACATTTTATATATCGAACCGTATTGAGATAACTGGCACTAATATTAATTAATATTATCGATAAATTTTACATCTTAATATACTGAAAAGTTTATCAGCGAAATCTTGTTTCAAGTATAATTAAGACAAATATATTCTATACATAATTTGGTAAATATTTTAGAATATTTATAAATTCATGTTCTGCTAAATAATTTTTTTACAAAGCTAATATAAATATTGAATTTAGTTTAGGCAACCATTTATTTAATTAAATTTATTATGAAAACAATTTAATTGGACTTTCGAAAACTAAGTAATTAATTTGAAATAATATAAGGCACAATATTATTTTAGCGCAGACTTGTCAATTTTCTTAATAGATATCAACGACTAGTCCAGAATCACGTTATTTCATAACTTGTTCAATTAAGCTGCATTTTCTGACTCATATTTTTGAAGTTTCTCTTTCATTTCTGCAATTTGCGATTTTGCTTCAGCTAACTGTTTCTTTAAAATCTCAGCCTCGGCTGCAACCTGTCTCTTATTAAAATCATCAACTGTAAGAAAGTCTCGAATATATCTATAATTTGTTAAGTTTCAATACAAAATTCATGTGCATAAGATTAACCATTATTTATAAGACTTATCCATTTGATTTATTATTTTCGTAAGAAAAATATTTTATTAAAGTAAAAGTACTCATAAAAATATGTAAAATAAATAAATTATATAAAATTACACTAGACAATCATTATATAAATAAAATGGTTAATAAGTTTTTAATAATTAGATGATATCAAAATTAGTTCATAAAATATTTGTGATTAATGTTAAATAATCATTTAAATGGATACTCTAAACGCTCTTCATATAATGCCACTAAAACATTGGTTAAAGCTTCCATAACACCAGCATGTTCCAAGTACTTTCGAAATTCTTCTCGTTTAACTTCATTGGGCTAGAATATAATAAATATTTACAGTCTATATTATTCCTGTAATTAAAAACTAGAATTTGCATTTGATGTATAAAATATTTTTAAACCATCATAAATTTAAACCAAACTAATTATTGTTATATGAAAATGTTTAAGGAATAATTCTGTGAATGCATGCATCAATAATGTTTATAATGTAGTAGTAAATCACAATTTATTATTAATGCTGAAGTATTATAGTATTATAGTATTATATTATTAAAGTATTACACTTACTTTAATATTCAAATTAATGCTCGGCATTTTTATTGATATTCCTTTGGTTTATCTGCAAAAAGAGAATTTCATACACTAAACACTACTCTTTCACCTTCAAAATGTGACGATTTACTGGATTAGCCAACCCTACAATATCTGAAACTCCTTAAACATGCTCAAGGGCAAAGTCGCATAGACACAATTGAAATTCAAGAATTTTTCGACGATATGTGAGAGCGAGCCAGCAACGTCGTCAGAGCTCTTTCATATCAAAACAAAATAAAAACTACAAAATTTCAGCGCTCGGACTTTGTCTTTGGCGCGTAAATAAGTTGTCGGCTAAATTGTAACACCGTAACACCTGTCGTCGGCTTATTTTTACTTATATTGATATTCTTTCTTTATTTTACTCTTATTTCTGCGCCGACGAACTTTACCATATCTTTATTCGAATTAAGAGCTTTGTAGATATAATTTCTTTACTTAATCGTGAGCCATTTTCACAAATAGAATATTCTTTTAACGACGTTTATTCAATTGTTTGTTTTTTGAAATAGGATATTGATACCATCATTTTTAGGCTTCCTAGTAGTAATATTAGTTTAGAATTTTAGTTTAGAAAAAAGTCTTTCTTATTTGTCATTCATTATATTTTGAATTAAAAAAAGTTGGGCATAGTTTATTTTAATATTATAAATAAAATAGTGTATATATATATATATATATATATATATATATATATATATATATATATATATACATACATACATACATACATATGCGTGCATAGACACATATAATTTAAAACGTGAAATTTTAATTCAATTTATAGAAATAAAATAAAAATAAAATATAATCATCATTTTGGAATTTTTCAAATATGGTTTAATTAGATTTTCCAACAATTTTATATCGATTGTAAATTTTTATACTTATAACCTATATTTTAAAATTTTTAGGTTAGTTTAATGTATGTCTGTGAATGTGTGTTTTAATAAAGTAAATGAATATTTATGCATTCACATTCTGCATCTGTGACTTAAGAAACAATGTTAAGTTTTAAACAAGCCTTTATTCAACGTGCGTTTCTTACTGGTTTAATTGGCATTGTTTCTGTTTTGGGGGATAAAGGTTTACAGAATGGCAAAAGTGAAATTGTCCGTGCCATCTCTGATAATTTGACACATGCCATAGTTGGTGGTATTACATGGACTCTAGTGCTTGTTTTATCAAAGCAATCGTTAACTGAAAATCTAAGAAGGATAATCACATGTTTTTTCATGTCATCTTTAATTGATGTCGATCATTTTATCACAGCACAAAGTTGGGACATTAATGTAAGTTAATGAATGTTTGTGAGTACATTTTCAAAATGAAGAAAAATATGTTTTCAGGATGCAACACATATCAATCACAGACCTTTTTTGCACTGTACTACAATACCAGTGCTTATATGGATTATTATGTACTTGATTTATAAGTTATTCAATATTCCAATATTGATAACTTATTCATGGATGATTTTGGCAAGTTTTATAAGTCATCATTTACGGGACGGGAATAGAAGGGGCTTATGGTTTTGGCCATTTGGTTCAACCCAACCTATTCCGTATTATTTATATTTAAGCCTTTGCATGGTTTTTCCATATTTCATATATTGGATAATGAACTGGCAATTAACAAAGCATACGGAAGAATTATTACTGATTATTTAATTACTTGATTGTAATGAAAAGATACTGAAGAATTCAATATAGATAATTTTATACAGTTACAAGTCCTAACCCGTGCCTTAATACAATGTTTGTATAATATTATATATGACAAAACAATCAGAAACTGTGGGAAACTGTATAAATTATTATTTACTATTTAATTATAATATTATTATAAAATCATTCATTGTATTTGGTTATTTATTTTAACCAACAGGTAGATTTATTTTTAATAGAGTAATGAAGAAAAATTGATTGTGATTTAATAGATTTATATAATATAATTCAGTAATTATTTATTATTAACGAAGTATGAATTAAGTGAGATTATGTTTTGTTAAAAGAGAAATTTTATTAAAAAACTTCGTTTTAGCATTGATTTTAATGGAATTACTTTTAAATTTGTAAATTTGTAAATAAAACTAAAAATATTTTAAAATGTATAAAAATTGTAATTTACATTTTCAATAAATTATTTCATAATTCTATAACAAAAATAGTTTTAGTAAATTGTCACTTAGTATAGTTTTTTAGTTATAATTGTATAGAATTTAATACATTTGTTTTTATAATCAATGTACAAAACTCAAAGAGTCAAATAGTAGAAACATTTAATTTATGTTAGTTTTAATACATTTTAATATTAAATTGATTTAATATATATATATATATATATATATATATATATTTAATATTATTAATGCTTTAGAAATAATATTTTATTAATAATTTATAATTGATTTATTTAGTCTCATAGTTATACCATGATTATTGTCATTCTTCTAAATTATCATAATAAATCATTTTTATTGCAAGTTTGATAAATTCTTTTCGTCAAGAAAGTCATAAATTAGACATATATAACATCATTATCAAATATTAAATTGTTTTTATATTTCAGAGCCTACATTATATGATACTCTAGTAGTGAAAAGATTAATAAATTATAAATTTAATTACGTATAACTAATATATAAATTACAATTTTAACTTCAATTTAACCATTTATTTTCTTCATTAAATACATGCAGAACTGAATTTTTAAACAAAAGTATAATTGTATATTGCTATAAGTATAATGTTTGAAAGTATAATTAAGTATAAAAATAGCAATCTATATATTATAGATTAAATAAAAATCGTGAAGATTTCATAAAGTTAAATAGTTTATATGGTTTTATATATAAGTAGTTTAACTTGTTTTATTTTTTTTTCTCTATTTTTATTGGAAAATCTATGGCGTATATAAAATATTTCATTTATAAGTATGCTAATCAAATTCTGTGAGATTAAATAGTTATTAATAATATGATACATAGTAAAATATAATATATTATTTATTGTAAACTGGGCGAGTACATTTTCTAACTTAACATCTAGAGTAATAAGTGTAATTTAATTTTCATTGTGTAAAGTAATAAATTATTTTCAAATCATAAAATTTTATAAAAAATTTGTTGATTCCATAATATTGCATATTTAATATATATATATATATGAATAAGTACAGGTTCTATTTATATTATTAAACCAAATTAAATATTATATTAGTTTCTAATATTTATATTTAATAATTTGTAATACTAATTTGTATTACTAATTTGTAATACTAAATTCTAATATTTATACTTGATAATTTGTAATACTAATTTTACACTGAAATTCTTATTTTCTAAGTAGACAATGGAGCTGAGTATGCAAAAATAATAGATTAATTTTTTCTTTTCTTAATCGCAAACATTGAAACAAATTTTGCTTATGTTTCGGTTGCTGTAAACATTATAATTTATAAATCATTAATGTCAGAATACTTTGTCTAAGTATATTTCACAGGCGATCTAATTTATTATAGAAAAATTAAATTTCTTATAAATATAACTTATAAATATAATTTTTGAAGTACGTATACAATTTTGAAATTAATACTAATTAAATATTTGCAATACTTATTTAGATTATAAATGGAAGTGATTCATTATATGCTTTCCTCATTTCATTTCACAAATATTTCATATATTTCATAATTTATAATAGATAATGATAGATGGTAATGCATACTTAAAAAATATTAATATTAATATATTTACTCAAAAAATTATGTAACTCACGTGTGCAAAAATGATCTCGTATAATTGGAATTTAAATATTCATACCGAAGAACAAATGTAAAAATCGAATAAAATCTTAAGAATTATAATTATTCTTAATTTTCATAATATTTATGATATTTTGTTATTGATACATTTGTTTTCCCTCTCTCTCTTTTTTTTTTTTTAATATAATAAAATCTGCAGAAGCTAATAAATATTATTTAAAATTCAACATTCTAATTTAAAATTCTTATTGCTTATGTTATATTATTCTATAAATGAAAGTGTATGAAAACAGTCCTTAATTTTTAGAATTTCAATTATATTATATTGAACAGTCACGTAAAATAAAAAAAAGGAAAGTCGTATTTCTTGGATAAAGAACAATAATTTTTATAGCATCGGCATTTAATTAAGTTTAAAATCACTTTTGAAAATATTATTTTAAAATATTAATGTGAATATTATCAAAGATATTGTCAATAATTTTTTAATTTAGAAAGTTGTCGCTCTAAATATTAATCGTGTATATAAAAAATATATAAATTGCTTACAAAAGTAAAATATACTTTAGTAATTTTTTTTTTTTACATAAAATTATTAAGAAAAGTATAATGTGCGTCTAAAATAATAACATTACAATTATCTATTTTATCATAGCTTATCGAAGATAAATAATTTATTGAATAATTCAATGTATAAATAGTTAAAATAGTTTTACGTAATGAAAACTTTAAATAAATTATTTATTCAGATATTTTCTAGAAATTATTTGTACAAATTATGAATAAAAGTATCGATAAAGGGTAATAGTTTCAATAAATAGTAATAAATCATGGTTAATTTTTTTATATACACGTGAATGTAAAATTTATATATTACAAATTGAGATGAAAAATATTTAAATAAGAATATTTAACAAATGAGTAGAAAGAATTTCTTTAGAGAGAGAGAGAGAGAGAGAGAACATTTTTGTAGTTAAAACATTATTATGTATTGTAGAAAGAAAAAAACAAAAAACAAAAAAAAAAACGAAAAAATATCCACAAATTAATACAATAAATTTAATATAATCAAAAAGACTTAAAGTTGAAGTATAATAAATTTATGTATATAAGAGAAAGTGATGAAATTCTTTTATTTCTTCAAGTTTGTTAAAATCTGTACTAGTCCAATTAGCCCAATTAATTATCCATTATTGTCTTAGTTATGAAATATCAGTGGCTTGTGCAACATAACTACGTATCCTGCTTATTTGTTAATAATCTCATTTATAAGATGATTATACAACTGACAATTTTTTTTTGTTATAAATGAACATCGTCAGCAGGATAATAATATAATATACCAAAGTTGGTAAGAAATTAATAATCAATGTTATACATCAGTATGCGATGAGTATATTGAGTTTGCTCAATGTTTTAACGAGATAACTAAATAAATTCTCATTTGAAATTAACTTCGTCATATACATAAATTTGTTTTCTCATAATTATTTGTATTGGTTCATTTAATGTTGCAATGCCATACATATTATGAATAAAATTCACCTGACTAATTTACGTGCGCGCTTACACTAATGGACGAAGGTATGGATTTTGACCTTCGTTAATATCGGACGAAATAAGGACGAAAATTGTCGTGTAGCGTGCGGACGTATCGATTCGAATGTCGAATGACGATCGCGTAGATGCGGGTTTAAAGTTGAGACGAATGGAAACGCGGGCTTGATTATCGAAAACGCCTGCCCGAATTATCTTCGATGCACCTCTCCAGTCTCAACAATGGCTCTATGAAGCATCGGTTCAAAGTCGAAGAGAAACGCACATAAATGCTGATAGGTAATGAAGCAGCTGAGTAGTTTGAGAATTCGAGCGAGCGAGTGTGCGAGGAATGGCAGGGGTGGGATATGGAGTGGGAGTGGGAGTGAGATAGTGATATATATATATATATATATATATATATATATATATATGTATACAGGTATAACAAGGAGAAGCTAATCGGTGCCACTGTCGTTGTGTGCTGCCGGCAGTTGGCCTTTGCTAAGCTGGCAACACTTTGCGCTTAAGTTCGTTCTTAGTGCTACTTGAACGTTTGGTGCGGCCGTGTGCTTGTGTTGTGCGCGGTAGCGTACGTAGGCACGATCGATTAACTTTCGATTTTGAAATTAAACTTCGACTCCCGCTTTTCGGCTGCGTACCTTGGTGCGCTTGCGTTAGCTTTAATGGTTCATGGAGGCAGCCAATCGGGTGTTTCCGGGCTCTGAGTCTCTTTTTTATGGTGTTTTGCTGAGCATGGAATAAGTGTCGCTTGTTTCACTACTTGGCACGAGATTTCACTTCAATTACTCGTATAGTGAAGCGTCCATAGAAGAGCGAATGATATTTGGTATAATGTGATTTCCCATTACTTATTCTCTCGATCAAAATTTCTCTCTCATTTTCATTTCGCGCACACTTTACATTATTATTTTATTTAATTCACTCTTAGATCTTTTACGATTTGCAACGAGTAATGGAATCTTCATTTTTCATGTGAATCCGATCTTGGCGTTACTTATACGCAGGCATTATTCAACAAAACATCGATGAATACGTAAATATACGCGCGCGCGCGCGCACACATCATCATCATCATGACGCATAAATACTTTAAAAAATATTCAATCGAAATACATGTTTAGTGAAAGATTTAATTGAAACGTACGTTTAACGAACTATTTAATAATGCATTTGGATTAAAAAGTAGTCATCGTATATTACGGCTCATTATTTTTATTTTTCATCTTTGCAGTACATTCGTACAGGTTTTTTCCACCAAAGTCTCGTTATCCTTATTACGTGCTTCTTAAGTTTGTACTCCGATAACAATTAATTAAAGTTAATATTGTCGAGTTTATTTAATTTTAAAATAAAGATTTCCAACAAAACAGCTTCTTACTTGGCTTTCGAAAATCAATTTTGTACAATTACTTTCTATAGTTGATAAATTGATAACTAATTGATAAATGAATTAATTAGGCAAATGCTTGATGGGAATTTAATTATACACTTTATGTAACGTGTATATCTATTGATGTAATTCATATGTATGGGAAATTAAATTATATTTTGTGAAATGTTTAAGGCAATAAATAAAAAAAAAAAAAAAAAAAAAAAAAAAAAAAAAAAATTAATAACAAAAATTTTATCTTATGAATCTAATGTTTTATAAAAAAAATTTTTTTACAAATATAAATAATAGTTGTAATAATATTAAGTGATAATTGAAATAATTATTATTCGTTGTAGATTAAATTTTTTTCTTCAGTTATGTAATAATTATAGTAAATTTATAGATTTCTTTATATACATATAAAAAATATTTTTACACTTTAAATCTTCAATTCATTTTTTTACATTTTATTTATTTCTTTAGTTTTTTCTTCATTACTTTTCTAGCGTGAAATACGCAAGTATATTCTTCGATATGAAAACTAAAAGCCTAAGTATTTTTTAATGACATAATTATATTTTTCGACCGATGTCACGTAATTATACCATTTAAAATCGTATTATCCATAAGTAAATAATTATTTCTTTCGCCAATTTTCTAATCATTAAAATGTACTTAAACAAATGTAAAATAAACTCTATCATATAAAATCGTTATTGTTGACTGTAATAAGTTGAAGCGTGATTTTACCAAGGCATTACTAATTCGTAAAATTAATATTCTTATCGGAATGAAAATTTATTTTAGACGAAATTTATAATTTTCCCTGATATTACTTCTTTTCAGACTATTTTATACAAAAAGTTTATATGATTTATACTTTTATTGTAGGAGCTAAATATTATAAATTCGAGCAATTATATGGCTAATATTCAAAAGATGTTCGTTCAATTAGAGACGCCTATTTAATTTTAATAAAACCAAAAAATTCTTTTACACTCTTATAATGATAATAAAACAACGCACAATCAATATAAGTGATTTGCTTAACAATTGCCGTAAATCTAAATATTTAAAAAAATTGACACATTATTTAACTAAAGTTTTACGTACTACTTCATACAATCGTAAAAAAGATTGATAAATTCACATATTTGACAAAGCGTAGTGTTTACACTTTTTTCTATTTTAATAGCGACTTAACTGCATAATCTAAACAATTTTAATAATATGGCATTAGGTTTTGTATTTCAACTGAATATTAATAACACAGATGTTTCACTTACAATTTTATACCGTTGTTGATAATAAATTTCTAGTACAAGACTTGCATTAACAAAATTTTAAATGTTATTTGTTTACAATAATGATAATGATAAAATTAACGTAATAACGATTGCGATGGCGATATGTACATATAAAATGTGTTGAATAGTTTTCCTATCAACTTACGTAGTACTTTTTAACTTTCAATTTTAATGGTACAAGCCTTTATCTAAATCTTAAAATATTTTATTATCATTCTACACTATGATAATTCATTTTATGTCGAGAGATAAAGTCATTGCGTGTAAATAACCGTTAAAAATTCCACGCTGTGAAAGAAGTTCTAAAGCTGTCATTCAAAAAAAAAAAAAAAAAAAAAAAAAGCATTAGATACTGATATGTTAAAAAAATAAGAAAGAAGAAACAAAGGACTAGTAGAGTCATAAAACTGCGATGATTATTCATCAACAATATCTCTTTTCCTCGTAATCATCGCATTAAGATCTGCTTCTCTTTGTCATTCTGTTTACATTGGGGAGCAGACGAGAGATCGGGCAGATGAAACTCGCCGGGAATCCGGAGGACGATATGGGCCGAGGACGAGCAAGCCACACCAAGACGACGATGGCTATGGCGAGGATAACGTCCGACCCACACGCACAAGCCATGTAATAACAAGGCGATGAAAGCGCATGAATGCGGGAGAACGACAGCGTTGCTTAAAGAGGACTGGAAAGCTCGAGGGGAGGGGCAATTTCGCAGCCCCTCTGTCCCTATCTCTCCACCGGCACATCCCGACGACACAAATATCGTTTCGCGATGGTGAGTATGAGGTCGTTTCTCATGCGCTCGAGCGCGATTTCACGTTTCCGCCCCCGCGTAACGGATAAGACGGCGCCGGCGACACCGGATCAGCTATGAAGAGTGAAAGCCTCGCTAACGAGTCGCCGCTATCCATTATTTACATTTCGCGCGCCATTCTTCGTTAGCTTCGCTGTTTTTTGAAAGTTGACAGATGATAAAAACATGAGCGTTCCACTAGTCGCGGATGCGTTAGCGAAAGGATACCGATTGACGACGCGCACAACCTTAGCCGTGGAAACGACGCATCGATAATCTCGATATTGTTATTATTGTATTATTGATTTATCGCTGATTCAGGCTACCGCCGCCTTGTCCAGCTGACATTCTTGTTTAAAGTACGCCAAGGCATATAATATTAACGTAGGCACATTCGGATTCGCAGCGAGTGTAAATAGTTTTGAGAATGAATGGAAGAATGCAATGCAGAGGCGATCGTTTTTATCTTTACAATACTCGGATGGATTTAATAGGACTTTTCTTAGTAAGGAAGTATCCAAGAATAACGAGTCTATTATTAGAAAGAATTTGCCATGTCTTGTAAGCTGATAATAGGATCATATGATTACATCAAGGTTAACTTATACGTATCGATCACCACATTATTTCCAATTGTTCAATGAACATAATCTTTCACCTGGATAAATAATTCTGTATGAAAGCGATTTCTTTCGACCTAATACCGTTATAATGAATTATTATTATTATTATTATTATTTTTATTTTTTTTTATTTTGAACATAGCCAATATTAAATTTCACTCAAATCAATGACATTGACAGATTTGAATCATTCGCGAATGTCAATTTACACGCGCAGAGTTAACAAGCGAATATAATTGAAATATAAATGAGGAGATAATTAACGCATTTAGGTAGAGAATTATTAAGCTTAATGTACTTTGATGATGATTACATTTGTAAACAAATGTAAATTAACAATATAAACTAATTACTAAATAGAAAAACGTCCCAACTCTCGACGAGCCACAATTACAAAAATTGTTTACTCTAACTACACGTAAATACTAAATGACTTTTGTATTTTTCTTAGTCATTGTGCATCAGCATAATTATTGCTTGGAAGCGTTTGCGCAAGAATCTCTGCACTTAATGGGACACTTCGTGTTATAAAAACGCTTTCCATGATATTGAATCCGAAGTGGCTGTAATGCAATTATTCGCGGCCACATCGAATCCGCGACGTCTCGCGCAACCGCAACGCATCGCCAAAAACCGCAATCACTTTCTTATATAAATCCAACTTGGCAACGAGACGATCTTTCAACATATTTTCTTGGGGTAAACGATACGTTTCTCAGGGATGTCCCATGACTTCCGATCGGACATCGATACTATACGCGGGGGTTGTATCTTCGATATTATCGATGGTATATCGTTCGAATTCTTATTGGATGTAAGGGATTAATAGAGAATGACGCACGTACATGTATTGGGCTATGTGCTTTTTTTTTTTTTGCTTTTTTTTTTGATTTTCTGTATGTACATTTTATATGAAAATTAGATGGGCATTATAGTGCGTAACACATGTGAGTAATGCGTAATTAAACAAGAAGGTTATAACGAGTAGCTCACAGAGTAATTTATAGTAATTTGCCGAGCTAACGTTTCTTTTCGGGAGCTATAAATCAATTATAAATAATCAGCAGTTATATCATAAATAATAGTCAGTGTAAGAAAATTGTGATAATAATAATGTCTATTTTTTCCACATTTCCATTATTAGGTTTACTTGACATCTAGTATTATGTGTACACTTTTGTGTGTACAGCGATTTTCATAATTTAGATGACATTGCGATAAATTTGTATACTATTGCGTAATTACGAGCGGCAAGAATAAATAATCTTACGACAAAGTATAAGTCTCGGAAGAGTCATCACATTGTCGTATATTATTGTAGTAGTACATGTGCTTCTGTTTATCGGGCTCCTTTAATGGAACGAGAAAAACTCATGGTAGCAGTAATAATTTTTATAAATAAACGTTATTTAGGTGCGAGGTGATCTCCCGCGTATGACAAAAACGGACTTTGGAACCTTGAGGTTTCGGGAAAAACAAAGGGACGAGAGTGCAATTTTCAACATAGTGCTTTACAGCACGCTTAAGTTCACTTTTGTATTGTGTATTTTTTATAATAGGATAGACGAGTGATGAAAAGGCTATTTCGCAAGCTGTCAATTATGACGACTCGTGGCTTAATTATGGTACATTCGACGGTGCAATTTTTCGCTACGACTTGCATGTATCATTGAAACGCCTTTTAAGACTCTTGTTTTTTTCCACGGTCAATTGCTATATTTAGGTATATGCACAATTTATTTAGCAATTAGGAGTGCCCCCAACTGCTTACATTTTTATATAATTACAAGGCAAATGGATGTATGCATGTGTGTATATGGAAAGGCGAATAAATAAATTCAATGCTTAAGAAAATTAAGACTCACAATTAAGACTAACATAATGAAAATGGATTATTTTACTTTTAAATCTTTATCACTTGATTTATCACTTTATTGCTTTTATCTTTTTCCTTTCGCTTAACGAATATTTTTATAAATTTCCTACTGCGTTATCTGAAGAAAAAATCGTTTCACACGTACGAGTAATCGAAAATATACTTCATAATTGGCCATTATTTTAATAATCACAATAATAACAATTATTTTCATGCCTTTATGTTTGTATTCGAATTAATGTTCGCAAGGGATCGATGTTTCCGACAAAAAATATATTAAAAAAAAAGTTCCCATTCCTTTTTTTTTTTTTTACGGAAATGATGTATCGGTCGATTGAAATACATACGATTAGTGAAGCTTTGGCAAGATATCATTGATATCTTGTCTTAACAAATAGCAATATTGATCCTCTACATCGAAATAAGGATTAAATTTGTCGATATATTGTACTGTTGCGAGATAAATACTTTATCTTTTTTTTTCTTTTTTTTGTTTGTTTTTTTTTTTTAACATTCTTATAATTTCCGAGAAGAATTTTTATTGTTATATAAATAATACTGACACTTTTATTATGAATTACATTTGTGATTACAATCAGTGTTACATTAAGGTCAATGTATTTTTTTTTTTTTTTTTACTTTTTAATCGATTGATAAATCATTTTTAAATATTCGAGATTTATTATAATGATTATTAGGACATAAATTTCTTTCTTTCAATAAATTACCAAGCTACCTCGCATATCGGGAAATTCTATAGATAGATAGACAAGTACCTTGAAACTTGATTTAGTGCGCTTCGAGCTTTCTTCACGAATGCTTTCGTACATACGCGAACGATGTTACACCGACACCGAGGCACGCACAAGCACACAAGTGCATAACAAACCAATACTATGAAGGCATAGAAGGTGCCGTGGTGTAATAAATGTACGTTTGCGATTGCAGGTGAGCCACGAGGAGCTGGAACTGTATTTTTACGTCTCTTGCGGCGTGACGGCCATCTGCATGATTCTTCTGCTAATCCTCATCATCATCCTCTTCGTCAAAGTGAATCGCCTTACAACGGACGAGTGAGTGCGCCCAGCCCAAGGGAGCCCGGCCAATCAATCAGAGAGAGAGAGAGAGAGAGAGAGAGAGAGATGGGCGAATCGCGCGAGACGATGTCGGAGCTCGGAGTTTTCTAATGCGCGAGTTTTCTTTTTTAATAGTGCGGCGCGCTCGTACGCGGGCTTCGCACTTGAATTCCAGGGCCGCGTGATAAGAGTCGATCGAATCGTGAGGCGCTGACTCATAATCTCTCTCTCTCTCTCTCTCTCTCTCTCTCTCTCGCTTGCTTCTTGACGAAATCGTTGATAACGTATCTTAACTGCATCTGCCGAGCTCGGGATTTATATTATTTCAGAACACTTACCTGCGCGCGACAAGTTTTTCATCTACTATTGACCCTCGCGCCTTTCCTGATAAAGCCATTTATGCGCCATGATGATAACGATCGAGTAATTGCGTGAATAATCCACGACGCTTAATATCATAATTAACATTAATTCTTTGATTATATCGAGTTGATACGATTTCATATTTACTTTCGTAGTTGTTTTTTTATTTGTTTTTTTGTGCCTTCCGCTCGAAGATCTTCGTACTTATAGCCTTGATAAACTTCGTGGTATTGAGTTGGGCAGCAAAATGGAACGATTTCTAAATAATAATTTTTATAATGACGTATCGCGAGTTGCTAAATTCATTTATATACAAATCAATGTTCATTTGTATATTCTGTAATGTTAATTGTAATATTACTTCATTGATTTGGTCGAGGCTCCAACATTAGCAAATGTCCAGAGCTATTCACTCCATACACATTATATAGATATTTGCTGATTTTATAATTATATTATTATTTTTTTTTTTTTTGTTTTTTTTTTTTTATTAATCGAACTTTACTCCGTATAACGAAATAACGTAATAACGAAGCCTGTTTTATATTTTCCTAATGTTTAATTTTCCATAGTTCATTTTGTTTTTCGGACAATCGGAATGAACTATTTAATCAGAGGAAATGTGATTATTTTAAATGAGACACTTCATAAGGGCACTTTTGTTTACTTACCTTGCAATTTGGTGAACTAGAAATTTTGATGCATAATGATTTTTTCGAGGTCATCAAATTGGCCTGGATAAGTCTTTGAAAAATATATGTCGTATGTATACGGGCAAGTATTTTTATTAAACAAAATATGAATATTGCACTCGAGATACTTAAATCTATCATAACAAATCTACTACATTAATATCAAGATAAATTTTGAAGTATTAAAGTAGTGTGCAACAATTAATAAAATTTAAATATATATATAGAGAGTATTTAAAACGAAATGAATTGCAATTTACGTATCTTTTGACGTGTATGGCTTATTTGAAGTTTTTGAAGCTTCGTAAAAAGAACAATAAAATCTATTTAACTAATTGTTAAAACTTTATAAATCATTATTTCAAAGCATATTTCATTGAAAGCTCTCGTTTGAAATTAATTATCTATAATATAGCTGTAGAGGAGAATTAATTACTTATATATTTTGAATTCTTAAGTTTTTGAAACATCATGCTATCATTTACTATCATAATAACATAATGTAAATCAGCAATTAGCATGTAATTGACAAATAAATTTTTGTTTTTTATTCTAAAAGTCTTAAAATGTCAGTTTTTCTTTATCGTTCAAGGCTGATGGGCTCATTGAGTGAAAATTGGACTAATATTAAATTAAAGTTTCAATAATATCCGTGTTAAAAGAGTTAATAATTAATAAAACTTACTTGTAAATCGTATGAATAATTCCATCATTAGAAATTTCAATAAATCATAAAATATCTCGAAATAAAGTCTCTGTCCCTATACAAAGGAAAGTTAAAATTAAATGAAAAAAAAAAAAAAAAAGAAAGCGATCGTTGTTTATGTGATAAATTGTAATTATCAATTAAACGCCCATTACTTAATGCGATGTATATTGTTTTTCAGCTCAAATCAATTAGGAAGGCAGGCAAATATGATGGCTGAATTCTGCTATACGAATCCAACGATAGTACCGGGTGAAGAACTTTCACGTCGAGGATTTTCCATGTACAGCGGATCTGACAATTTTATTGACGACTATGGAATTCGAAGCAATAAGTATGCTGGACCGCATCATGAAACTCGATCCAAGTTTTGAACAATTGTACAAATACGAAGAACAAAAAGCGGAAACTTATGAATTAATCATTAGTATTCGGTTGGGAGCGTCCGACGGTTATTCGGTCATATAAAAATTATATTTTGTTTTAGAATTCTTATGAGTTTCATGTAACAATAAATTATATTCCATATTTCATTTGATGCTTGTGAGAAAATAATAACGTAATAAGCGATTCTTTATTTGTATTTATCTGTAAGTTAATTGGCCGAGTCGAGTATTGGCTCAGTGGACGAAGAACGATATAAGTAATTTAAAAAATAAAATAAAAAAAAGAACAACGGATCCTGATATTTTTATGTTAATATGAAGACTATTACTTTATCCTCGTATAAATTATAAAAATAACTTCTTCGTAAGATCATAAACTCCCAAATGTTTAAAGCTTTGCATTTAAGCGTACTAGATAAGTAAATCAATAAAAATATAATTAAAAAATAACGGCAGAGCATTAAATGTACGTCGTTGCTTTTCTAAAAGAAAAATTAATTGCACTGATTTATACGAATAGTTTAATAACATATCTGGAGACCATTTAATTTTAACCAAAATATATACAACTTATTTTAATTCGCCAAATAACTTGATAATAATAACAATAATAATAGCAAACAATACATTACGTAGTGATTACAAAAACAAAGCTTTTATTTAATTTACGAGAATTATAATATTTGTTAATATATTTCAGCTTTATATGATATACCTTTTAAAAAATATTTTTAAATGTTACAATTTATTTATCTTTCGATGTGAGTTTGCCTGTAAAAAAAAATAATTATAAAACTCTTTTTATAATTCTCAATTTTACCGATGGCTTATAAAAAAATTTTACGTAACTCGGCTGAGAGGTGTTAAATGTCAATGTTTATAAGATTGGACGCCTTTGTTTTTCAATACTAGATTTATCTTTGTGATAAAATTCTAACTTAAAAAAAAAATGTTTTTCCTTTATATAAATTAAGAAACAATATTGAAGTTACCATGTTAATAGTTTTAAATAAATATATAATTATTGCACGTTATACATGTAGTCTGTGTGCTTGTAATGGTAGATTTTTCAATAATTGATATCAAAATTCTACATAAATTTTACAATCGACTGAAAAATAGTTTAGTTAATGACATTATATTTTAATATTAATTTTAAATGTATTCTTTTCTTCGTATCACTCGTAGTTTTTATTACAAATTTTATTTAATTATCTGTAATTGAGGACACTCGTCAATGGAAATTTATAATTCGAATTTATTGTTATTAAAAAAATTTTATGAGTTATATTTAAAAGTCCCTTATAAATGATTTTATTTGTTATAGTTATATTTGAATCATAAATGAGCATTCATATTGTTTTGTAAATTATTATTATTTATATATAGATATATATAATTTCACAAAATATAACATTATTTGTAAATGCGCATTGATGAGAATGGAATTGTTTAAATTTATTAGAGTTTTAAAAGTCTATAAAGAATGTTTATTTATAAATATTATTTTCATATATAGATATATATATATATATATATATATATATATATATATGTGTTCAAAATATATATAAAATGTTCAAAAATAAATATTTCCATTAACAAAGGTCTTTTATCTATTATTTTGTAAAACGTAACTATATATTTAGATTAATTATTCATAAATACATTGAAGAAAGAGTTTTTCAGCGTATAAATAGTCTGTATTGCCAAAGACAATATAGTAATAAAGAAGCGATGTTAAATTTTATACAACACAAGTACCATAATGTATTTATTAATGAAATTATAATATATAACGTGAAAACTATAATGTTATTATTAGTCTCATTAAAAGTCAAGTTGAAAATAAAATATTGTACAAAATTTTAATAAATAAACCCAAATGTAACGAAGGATATTTTTATTCGATAAAAAAAATTCTCTTGATTTCGATTATTCATGATTTACTTATATACGAAAATTTGAATCCAAGTATTACAAAATAGCATTTAATATTTTGAAAATGCATTTTATATAGTGACTATGAACTATTGATTAAAATTTTTTTATTAAATTGTTAAATTATTTTCACTTATTACTTATAATATATAACCAATGATATTTAAATTAATATCTTTATTTATATTATAAATTTATATCAATGGCTTATATCACAAGAATGGTGGAATGAAATAAAAAATCATTGGGAAATTAAACATATTCTAACATATTGTGCATTATATATATACATTTTTTCTAATCGGATTCCATCTTTTTTTTTTTTGCCTTCTTTATATAAACAATAAGTACAATGAAATAATTATTTAATATTTTTTTTTGAATATATGTTAAATAGAATATAATAAAGAATAAAACTTCGTACGGTGAATCGGCCAAGGTAATAGAAAATAAAACTACTTTGAAACTCTCGGATTGCGATTGTATTTGCCCTCATTCTTATCAGTAAAAATGTATACACAGTAATGTCGTTAAGCGTCAGTTACTATTCTTTGGGCTGGCGATATATTAAGTATTGTCATAACAGTATAATTCAAAATAGTAATTCTGATATTATACGAAAGAGCACAAATGTTATATGTGTACTTTAAAATTTATTTTTTCTAATTTCTTTCAAATATATTTCTAATTTATTTGTGTAATGTACTTAACGACTAGTCACGGCCAAACGTATAAACGTATTTTACACATTAAATAAATATTATCGTATATAAATCATTCGTTATATATTTTTACGGCCCATTTTCTCGTACTTTTTTCACTTTCGTATCGAAATATACAACAGTTTCGATTTTAATTATCCCAACTTTTTTTTTTGTCAGATAGTGAACATTATTTTTTTTTTTTTTTTCTCTTTGGTTTTTGTTTTTTTTCCAAAATGAAAAATTTATGTTTAAGATGTGTAAAAAAAAAAAGAAAGAAACTAAAATACATTGTTTCTGTCAGATGTATTACACCGAAATACCACGGATCAAGGATACGAATATCCAAATGTTTTTAACACGTTCTAAAATTATTTATCATCTTTATTTCATCACTTGCTTCATTTCTCAGATCCAAATGGCATTGATACTTATAAACTTCATCATTTATGGGTAATTGGCGTAATTTTAATATGCGTCTTGTACCATGTGGCTTGGCTTTGATTACAATATGATGTGGCTGCAGCAGAAAACGAGAATGAGCCTTCGCTCTGTAATATGTAATCAATCAGCTTCTTCGAAGATTATTTGCACCTTATTACATATGCAAACTTTTGACTTTATTAGAAAATCGATTGCGATCCTCATAAATGTCAAGTTTATGTGAGAAAATTTTAGATTTGTAATGATCATATTTCACAACAAATAATACATAGTTTTTATATACCCAATACATTACGATATTTACGATTACTTTGGTTAAATAATTATGCAGCTGGAATCTTAAGGAGTATTGCAATTAAAAAATTTACTATCCATATAATCGAAATATAAAGAGATCATGAATTTTTATTCAACAGAATTTTCATTTGATTTACCTTTAAGGCTAATTTTTATTTCCTTTTACTCCCTGTTCCCTTAATTTGCCGTTTAAGTCTCCGTTTCCTATTAGTATTTACAATCATGAGAACTTACGAGGCGAAACTAGGATTTTGGCGTTGCAATTTTTGGTCTACGCTCTAGTCAATTTATTATCGAAAAAAAAAGACGTCACAAGTACGCTTAAAGCTCGTTATCGGCGTAATAACGACGCGGCTAGCCGCGAGTATAACGACTGCGATGACTTTCGTTATATATTGCGTTCACTGACTATTTTATTATCACTGCTTGGCAAAAGGGCGTAAAACCATCATTAAAACCGACAGCGAGAAGAGCAACCTAACGACGTTTCGCCCATTTGCGAAACTTCTCACGAATGGAAATTTGCCCTGAATCAAGCATTTTTATCTCTTCCATCTCTTTTATTTCACCCTACCAAGAGCGCCAAATCGTTTTGTAATCTTGTCAAAATCAACCTCCTTTGCAATTGTTATCATGTGGCTTTTATTTCTTTATGCGTTTACAAAACTAATAAAGGAACGATTCACATTGTTATTGTTAAGGAGGCACGTACATTTAGTGGTAGTATAAGGTTTAAAATATCAAAAGCATGCTTGGCGTAAATTTTTAATGATTTATAGAATCTTTAATGATTTATATTGTTTGCCTTGGTTGAGCTAATCGAACAACAATTATTATATTTTCGACATAGAAAAGATATTAAGTTAAGAAAAAATTCAAACGATTAAACACTCTGTTTTTATAATGCACGCGGATATTTATAATCAATATTTAACGATGATATTAATGAAATACATATATTCGTTTGTTATATATCAATTTTGCTTCAATTATCATGAAAATAACTGCATCTCTAAAAATTCGGTATTCATTTCCAAATTGTATTTTAAATATAAGAATACATTTTGAGGAGTATTTTATCCTAATGGAACTTTTCAAATTTTCATTATGAACATAGTATTCTTAAATAACGTTTTCTATAAGCAGATTTCAGAATACTCTATTATCTTCTAAGGGCAATAAGAAGCTTTATGTTTTTCGAATCAAAATGAAAAGTTCGGTAGACGCAATCCGTGCTTTTACATACTCTTGAAATTTTAGTGAATCCTTTCAAAATTATCTACGTATATATATATATATATATATATATATATAAACTGTACACTTACTTTGAGAAATATTAAATGGTATAAATGAATAGAAGATAACGAAGACAATTATTTTGAATGAAAAATGTAATAGATATTAAATCAGATAATCTACATGCAAAATGTGACTTATAATTTAATTACTACGTAAAATAATCGATCATATTTGTTTATGTATTGTAACACAGTTTCATTAAACAACATATTTCTGTGTGAGAATATTGGTAGATACAACGTTAATAGGACATATTATTGATAGCTTGTGCAAATCAATAAAAATTGAAAGTCAAATTGAATTTATGTGCGAAACTACGAGAGCGTAAATTTAAATTTACGTACTGTATCGATGATTCATAATAAATAATAATATTTATAATATATGATATAATATTTAATAATGTTTAAAGTAATATGTTGTTAAAACTAACGTTAATAACGTTATAACTAAAC